AAACCGTTTGTCGTTTGTCGTACCGGGAAGCACTTGTGTGTTCATATATTATGATTAGGACAGGTCACGTTGGAATAAGCAGCTGCACACGCTAGAAATCTCGAATAAATATTATTTGTCTGGAGCTTGATGCGCACCTGCGGCGGCAGTGATTTACATTGATATAATTATTATGTCATAGCATACATAATAATAATTAATGCATGTCACTGAAAATCGGCGACGACATTATAACTTATTTATTAATATCATATTATATCATGTATTTTATATGATCGAAGTAAATCGCATATCATCGAATATCCTACAAGTAATCGCGTCGTCATGTGCACAATAACCCACGTCGACGATGCTCTGACATCAGCTGTAGTGGTCGCTAAACATCGTAACCCGCGAGCGCTTTAGACAATGGCTGCGGATACGATTTCCGAAAGAAAAAAACAAAAATTTTCAAAGCTAAAAAAACTGTTTGGCGTCTCGAACTATTGTGTATTATACTATATGTGTATAATAATATTATAAAAAATATAATAAAATTTTATGTAGACGAGCGCTCGTGATGCGGTTACGCGCAAATCTCGAACGGCACGCGAGGGGAGGAGGAGCGGACAGGACAAAACGAAAAAAATAAGCCATCGAAAATCGCACGAAACCGCACGTCCTCCGAAGGTCGTTGACCGGTACGGCGGCATTGGCAGAGAACGTCTTATGGTGCGCGTTCGTCGCTATTAAAACGCAGATTTGCAACGAAAATGCGAGAAGCTGCGTGACCATCAACGCCGTCGATTCGTTCGATTTCGGAGGTTTGTCCGCAAGGATTTCGGCCTCGAAATGATAGATGGTATCTAGGGGGGGGAGGGGGCGTTACGCATTGTGTAGCTATTTAACCATTAATTTCGATCTCTGGGTGCAATAGGGTACCGCGGAGGTCGTGGTCCGAGGGGCAGCGTTCGCGTGGGTTTGAGGGGTGGGTGAGTGGAGGGGGAGGAGGAAGAGGAGAGGGAGCGGCTGGAACGATCGTTTATAATAATAACGTATTCGCGATTCCGGGAACGAGTCGAGCAAATTATAATATAGTATTTTATATTGTGCGTTGTTCCACACAACAACCTTGTCCGCGCCCAAAACCGCAGATAATCGCACACGCACACACGCGCGCGTTTAATTTATATACTATTCGTATACAACACACACACACACACGCGCGCGTGCGAGCGAGCGCGCTAGCATAATGGAGCGACGCAAGAGTCATCGACGGCCTCCGCGCCGCCGCGAACAGGCCAATGAACTTGGCGCACATTCAGCCGGCGGACGACGACGTCATCTCGTCACTCGCGAACGTCGGGTATATTATGTACACGGCGACACTATACGGCGCGCAGCATCAAACGCGTGTCCAATCTTTTTTCGTTCTCCTCTCATTTTCAGCATTCCGCGCGGACCCGCGATCAACGACCCCGCCGAATCCTCGCGATTCCAAACACGCCCAATAATACGCGCGCACACGGCGGCGACGACGATTCCTCCGCCGCTGACGCCGCCCCGACGTGTAAATAACATCGTATTGTATATATATATATACACGCGCGTATATAGTAAATACAAATGCCTTACGTTTACACGTTCCGAGTGCAACGCACCCGCGACCGAGGCGTTTAACTCGTGAAAATATAATACGCGCAGAACAACAATGATGTGTACATACGAACGCGGCGCACCTAAATATTATACAATTTTTACGAACACGATGCCTGCCGCGACCTCGTCGCGCGCCGTTGTCTTTCAGTACAACTTTTTCGTCGAAAACACGCCGTAATGACATATTGCTACTCCTAGGCGGAGATTGGGGGGGGGTGCTCGCGAGAGCTTAGCCCTCCTAAAAAATCAAAAGCCCCCTCAAAATTATTGAACATTTTTCAAAGTATTAAATAGGTATATCTATTTTGTAGCAATGCAAAGAAATATTTATGCCTCTCCCCCCCCCCCTAAAATTCAGTCAAATATCCTTCTATTTACCTACTATATATTCGAAACGACAATACTGAGACGTCGTCGTGGGAAAAACTTCGCGAGATTTTCCAGGATTTACAGAGTCAAGTGCACGACGATTACGTTACGTAACAAACGACGCGTATCTATCTATAATAATTATCGTTATAATCTACGCGCGACGTTATTTTGTGCGCTTTCGTCGATCGCGATGATAAACTAAATAATATGTATCCATTCAAGTATTATGAGTAAAATATCAATCGTTTACCCGTAAATTTATTGTGCGTCAGTATTTCAAAAATGTATTTTCGATTAACTGCTGTACCGCCGTTAATATATTATGTTATTCGACATTACAGTAATACTTATATCGTCATTGATTGTATTTTTATTACCTTGGCATTGATTCGCCGGTTTATCTGTCTCCCATTAACGCGCAACGATCGCCAGGAATTTTAATAAAAATAGTGATGTTTTTGTCGCTCAAAAGTCATATTAATGCCACGATCGTATCGTATTTACGCTACACTTATAAGACTCGGTGTATACAACAGTAATGGTCGAGACTAGTTCGTGAAAACCTTCAAACGGTTTCAAATAAGTTATGTATCGTGAGAAATGCTTTCGTCTGACCGGCACTGAAGTACCGTCATCGTATTCGTCCGACGGCGAGCGTACGTAGTCGAATTAGGAATTATAATATATTATAATATTATATTACCGTGCCTATACCTATACATGCGCGAGCCGTCAGCAACGTGTTTCTTCTTGAGGCAACACGCACGTCCGAGCGACGATGTAAACAAACTCGCGCGGACTAGATGATATATATATGTATATATATATATTTATTTATATTTCAATATCACATTATTATTATATTTACGTGGGTCGGCGATAATATAAAAAACGACGAGGTCACGCCGCCGGCACGTACGTCGCACCTATGTATATATATATATGTGTGTGTGTGTGTGTGTGTGTGTGTGTGCGTTTGTTTGTTTGTTTGTTTGTTTGTTTGTTTGTGCGTTTGCGTGTGTCGTCATCGCACTGGTGTGTCGACGAGAGCGATGTAAATATACACAATATCGGTCGGTTCCGAAGACTATACGGTTGTAAAACGGCATAGACTGGTAATTCACGGGTACGTCGCGTCCAAAAGTCCAGCCCGGCTATAGGGATTTCCCCAAAGGTCGTGCGGTTATTGCGGTGACCGAAACCATATACCGCGATTGCTTTACGTGCTGCAATATCGATCGGGATACGTTCAAAAGGCACACGACACGACGACAGACGACGTAGCCCTCGGCTTAAATCGCGGTATGCGCTGTTGCAGCAGAAGGAGCTCGCAGGGACTTTGTACAGACGGTGCGAGAGCGGCGGCACAGCGTCTAGCAAACAGTCGCGGCCCGACGGGTCGAAACGCGCAGAAACGCTGTGACGAACGCGATATTGTACGTAACGTATACCGCGGTATAACGTCGGCGGCCGGGTGGATGTATTATATTTCTTCGTATTTCGTTTTTGCCTTGCTCCGTTCGCACGTACGCGCGTATTATATGCGATTTTTTTTTCACGGGCGAAAGGCCACGGTTACATCGGGCGGGGAAGGCGGCGCGGTGACGGTCTGGTTGTACGTCGCACCGAGTTCACCGACCTGCCCGGGCGACCGAACGCGCGCCGCCGGTGCTAATATAAACGCGAGCGGAGGGGCGGGCAGGCGGGCGAGCGGGCGGGCGCACGGCCCGGCAAGGTCGATTCGCGAGCCGCCCGGAGGGGTAGCGGTCCCCCGCCCGCCCGCCAGCAAATACCCATCCACCCCCGATCGCCCGCCCCGAGGACAATGCACCGGTCAATGGCTTTCGCGGACTCGCGTCATTATTCTCACACGGACGGTTCATCTTGGATACGGCAAAAACCACAGGCGCGTGTAATACACAACGTACGATAATAACGTGCAATGTAGTATATTGTGTACGTGTGAAACTCGTAAAATATATGCGCAATGAATGGAATTAATCGGTACGAGACCTGTTGATCGGAGAGGGCCGTTGGTGATCGGGTAGTAAACCGCGAGGGAGGCATTGACGGCGGCAGTGCGATGGATCTTTTGCGAACTTATATATTGCTGGTTGAGCACTTGACGTAACATAGGTATTGTTGTAGATGAGCCCACCACTGTCGCAAACTCTGACCATTAATTATTATACACGCGTATTGGAATGTCGTTGTGTAATTAAAAATATACAGGGAAAACAATAAATCATATTATGTACACGGCGGTTACAGTAAATACTGGTTTCTTAACATTGCGAATATTAACATAGTGACGGTCACAAGTTAACTCCCCACCAACCCTTATAGTATACTTCACGGTAGTCACATCGATTGCAACGCAATATAATAAGTGTTTACAACTTCTACACACCAACCATCGGCCTTGTAAATCCCTTTGTGGTGCGTCAGGTTGTGAAAAAAATGTACTTAAACGCTAATTATTAATGTTTCCAACTATAGTTCCCACGCTGAAGACTTTACCCGGAGTTATATAATACAAATTGTTATAGCATATAATATAAACGATAGGTATTTCTTAGAAACAAAAATGTACTATACATTATTCGTACGCTTATTAGAAAACTATGTTATTATTTTTTTGTGGGATCGATCCCAAAACACTTAAACGTAAATTATAATTATTATCGATAAACGATATCTTCATAAAATATAGATATTATACGTTTGTATTTAGTTCGCACAAAATGTGTGCCAATTACAATTAGGGATACGAGATATTAGTCATATTTTTTTTAAATGTCCGTTAGTCATCCACTACTTAAATTGTCATTGAAAAGTATTAATGAACTTATTGAAATTTGTAAAGATAATGTATATTTAATGTGTTACATTATTACAATAAGATTATAAATGCGTGTATTATGTGACATGTAGATATTTTTTATATGATTCAAAGTAATAATATTATGAAAATAAAAAATTGTACTCACCCGAATTATTGGTCGTTTTGATTATTTTATCCTATAAATGCGTTGTACGTTGATTATACAATCATCTCAAAACACAAATATAGGTATCCAACGAGAAAAAATCACACAACCGAATAGTTCACAGTTTTATAAAATAAAAAAATTTCATACACTATAAAATATTACTTATACAATATATACCTATGTGTATATAAATAAATACAATTTAAAAATGTAAAAATACTATTAATGAAATTAAAAAAAAAATATATATATATATATAATAATATATACTATGACAATATTTTAATAATATTATGTTAGACAGTAAATTCACATATTATATATTATAGTCGTAATAATAATATGATAAGTGCGGAGCAAAAAACGTAACCGATCGGCGACAAGACTCGCACGGTCACCTGTCTGCGCTGACACTGTGGATCAAAGCACTTCCTTAAACTTAACCTTCAAAACGGACCGACCTCTGGTGGAAGAAACGGTATCTCCTTCCAACCGAACGCAACCGGTTCTCGCGGGCGCACATACAACGTCGCGGCACACGAACGGTCGATGAACTCTGAAAGTAAACGCCACAGGTAGTCGGTGCCGCCGCGGTTTGCGGTGGTGGGGTTACAATATATTATATGTACACTGTAACGAATATACGTGTGCGTGTGTGCGTGTATTTGTGTGTGTGTTTGTGTGTGTTTTTCCAACCAAAGCCTTCCCTCTTTCGATGTTCTTTGTTTTTTTTTTTTCTCATATAATTATATTATTTATATACATATTGTGTATTTTTTTTTTCATCGTATTTAACGGTACTGCACCGGTTTCTGGCACTCTGCAGTGCAAACGCATCACAACCCTCATCGACCGCAGCGCGGTGTCCGCGGTACCGCGAAATTTCTTTGACGGGATCTTTGTGCGCGGGGGGGTAGGTGGCCGGTACGTCGTGAGTATCGGGTGAGAGAATTCGATCGTGTGAAACCGTGGGACAAAACACAAATGTTTTTCTTACGTCCAGACTGTAGCAACAGTTGGTGCAGACACATACAAACATACAATATTATATATTATCTATCTATATTTGTAGGTATACGGTATCGCCATAGACGCAATTTCTTTATTTTTTGAGCATAGCGTTGAATCGCTGCTAAATGTGATATTATTAGAAAATATTTATTTGAAGGTGCTACTTTTAAAATTGGGGGTGCTAATTTACCCTAAGCGCCCCCCCTAATTACGTCTATAAATATCGCCAATGTAAGGTCACATCGCCAACGGTGTATCGTCTCTGTATAATGTACGGGCCATACACGTACTCAATGGCATTTATTCGAATACGCTTTGGACAGGCAGTCAGTAAACGGTGTACGTATATTTATTTATTTGTATACTTTAAAATGCAATTACATAGTGAAGATTTGATAATTAAAAGTGTGCGATCTATTCACCATACATAAGTTTTTCGTCGTCCGCCAAAACGAGATACAAACTGGTTTAAAGATGAAATTATACTCTTCCTCTCGAGTGGAACAAACTAATAAAAAAATATTTGCCCAAAGGGGAATCTGGTTTTTTTTATTCTCAAGACCTCACACCAAAAATTTTTATTTTTTTTTTATATGTCCGCAACGATATAGTATATACGCACGTATGCTGTATAGTGTATACTACGCATGAATTATACGGTTCGAAAAAACCCATTACAAGGTCAATGGCTTCTAGTGCAAAATTGTCAAAAATTAACTATACCGGAGTCGTCCTTTGCGTTCAATTTTCCAGATTTTGTTCAAATATCGAGACAAAAACATGCATCGGCGACAAAGCATATGAAACTATCCTATTTACTCGTATTAAATTATTATCAGTGGTTTTCTAGCGTCTTCTTTTAATTGCAATATCGACTTATTCTCAGCGAGAGTTCAACGACCCTGTTACCGGTTTGCTCGGCCATCGCTCCAGTAAACTATATTCGCGGTCGACAAGCCATTGACCGTTCCAGTGACCACGCAGCAAATCGTATATGATCGGGTTTTTTCTCTCATCTATTATACAACGGGTATTCAATTTCAGGAAACGCATCTTTTTCTCAACCACGACTTCCCCACCCTCACCCCGATAAATCGAATCGATTTATAAATAGGTCGTGAAAACTGTTATTTTTGTAAACTGTTACACCGTTTACGTAATTTTCCCCTCGGCCTACATACTGTTAATTGAAATAAATAATAATGAACTATAACTGTTCTACACCGTCGCCCAAGTATTATATTAAATTGTATACCTGTATTCGGTACCATTAAAATCGAATAACGTGCGTATTTCGATTTCGGTGACTTTAACGGTGGTCAGCTACATATTATAAGACTCTCGACGAAAATCTTTGAACTAAGTCAATCGGTCGTAAATATGTGTTCTGTATATATGTATACGATAATATGCATGTTTTAGTTTTAGACGAGACACAGATTTTGGCGCCGCACAGTGTTTGAAAAATTCGATACGATATTATTATCATCGCTATCGCCCAATGTAATATTGTAATAAAATGATATGATATACGACAATACAATCCAGACAGACGTATACATATGTGTTCAGCGTACGTATATATAGTATTCAGGCGAGTGACGGTTTTGCAATGTCCAGGTAAAAGTTAAAAGAAAACAGTATGTACCGTAACACACACACACATACGTCGAGCGATTAGTGAGAGGATGAACTTGGTCATTGGCGGCCGTTGACCTAGCCGTGATGCGCATGCGCAACTCACATCACCGGCGGCGGATCAGAAAGTGGATCAAAGAGTCAACTCTGACGTCACGGGAAACGCGCGTACCGTATTAATATACCAATAGGCAATAGGTACTTAATAGGTAAAAGAGGTGTACGATTAAATAAATCGTCCGTGAATATGCGTCGCGGGGACGTCCGCAGATGATTCATTGTTTTCCCGTGGAAAATCGCCAAAGTATGAAAACGAGACCGAAAATATATAGCTGTAGCTTTGAAATAAAATCGAAAAAAGACCGTCCTGTTTAATAATATTATAAATAGTCTCCTGCTAACATACGCATATAACATGTAGGAATAGTACCTTCGTATGGTTTATGTATATATACTGGCTGCGGACAGTCGTGGGAAAAGTGTTTGCACCGGGTCGATAATATAATAATATAATATAGGTGTCGATCGACAGGTGTGCAGATTTACACTGCATTTATCAGAAATATTGTAAACGCGTATTCGTTTATATCTCGCGAACCTATATGTAATTTCGGCGAGATAATAAAGCGAAAACGAGTTTTATATCACCCGCTGGGTGTCCGCGCACCTATATATGGCTATATATAATACCGCTGGTGCAGGTGTCGGAGCGTCTGTAATATTGCCGGTAGGAAATAAACTCGATTAGGTAGACATTCGTACGGGTGTACATGTTATGTACGCGGATGCGATCGTTTTCGCGTGATACATTGAAGCGTTGGACATCATTGTCACGCGCGCGGTACATGATTCGGCGTTCGAGACAGAATTCGTCATCGTCGCAGATATCGCGAGATTAGCTCAATTTGTTCTCCGAACACATAACGTCATCGTATTTGTTTATGATATTATAATATGACGAGGCGTTGGAGACTTGATGTCTGTATTACGGGTCAGTTGATACAAAATATTAAATATAATACAATTATTATTAACCACTCGCCATATAGTGTCGATTTGACTCATGATCAGGTCGCCATTAGGGAATAAAGATTCGTTAAGTTTAACACCAATAGTGTGGTGATAGATTTCAGGGTTGAATGACCGTCAGAAAAGTTTAAAAAAAAAAAGTAGTACCTCAACACGTAAGTATTGATTTTGTTTAATATTTTTAGTGTGAAACTAATCTATAGTATGAATCCTGGAAAAACCTCAAGGAAAAAACATTGTAAAAAAATTATAAATTACCTATGACATAATATTATATAATAATAGTTATCCATTTCATTCTACATATTATTGGTTTAAAAATGCAGATCATAGAACTATTATAATATGACCATTTCGTTTCTTTTTTATTGGATAATAAGCTTAATTTTATTTAATAGTATAGATACAATGGGATATAGATAACCATTATCCAACAATATAAATTAAGTAAACTATGCTCTGCTCAAATCAGTTAAATGTGAAATATTCTATCAATAGTTGTATAATACAAATGCATGCGGTACCTATACTCCCATAAACTTTTATTTTCGTAGACCATGTTTATTTTTTCCGTTAGATTTTTTTCTACGTTTTTTTTTCGTATTCATTTTTTATGATTATACCTTGAGGCAATTATCTACGAATAGGTAAGGTAGTAGGTACATGTTTTATAATATCGTATTCTGCTATACAAAACTTCTATATGAGGTGAGAACGATTGATGGAACAGGACAAAACCAAAAGTTTTAGCACAGACTTGATTTTCTGATAAAACTATTATTAAGTCCATCGTTACTCATTATTGACATTATTCATTGCTCATTAAAGGATCTACGGATGCCATAATCAATATATATAGGTATTATTTATCTACTAAGATTTTGCGAATTTATAACCGCAAATAGCAAATCGCGGTCCGTGATATATTTTCTGCGGATAAAAGCGCCAATGCACGAGTCAGTGAGCCAAGCTGCTGCTGCAAGTCTGCGTATTAAAATTTATAGTACGTATACCTATATATATATAATTAATTTTTGATTCTCACAATTCGTAATTTGTCGTTTTTGTATAAAATGTTTTGCGAAACGTATGATCATTGCTCACGTCACCTATTTCAACTACTCATATAGTATATGCAAATGACTGATTCCGCGTCAAGTCGTCTTAAACAATAATGCGTAAATATTTTATACGTGTATATATATATATATATATACAAATATAAATATATATATATTGTAGCCTCAGCAAAACTATTGCGGTATACGGCGGCAGTGAGTTGAGTACAAAAAAAAAAAAAAATCACATATATAATACGCGTATGTACGTATAATAAAGACTGCGGCGGCGGTCGCGGCTGTGGCCGTGGTTAGGAACATAAAGTTGAACCACGGTCGTTGACACGGACGAAATAACGGATTCCGGCATTCCACTCTATCTGGTCGTGTACGCCGCCGCCTCAGCTCTCGTTCTCGAACGTTCTGTACGGGAATCTTTTATACTATACGGTTTT